GTTCAGCTTCTCCATGCTGGCTCTCTGACTTAGCTTTCTTGGGACTACTCTCATCCTTGCTTAGGTACTCAGGTACTTTCCAGTCTATTATCCAGTAGTCATAGCTGGGCAGCACATCTCTAAAGGATTCAGAGATTTTGTTTCTATGGCAATGGGAACAAAATCCTCCCCACCACCTCACAACAGTGTCTGGAACAGATCATGTATGTGAAGACTTTGCTCAAAAGGGGACTGGGGGAAGGAAGGGTTGGAGAGACGTCTCAATGGTGAAGAGGTTCCTAGCACTCATACTGGGCAGCTCACAATTAATTGCCTATAACTCCTGGTGGGTACCCACACTCACAGACACATGTCGTACCCGGGCACACAGATACATACACACATATTTAAAAAAATAAAATTAAAAAATGTTTGAGGCAGCATCTCTCTTGAGCTCTGACTGTCCTAGAACTCACTACGTAGACCAGGCTAGCCTAAAACTCATGGAGATTCACTTGCCGCTGCTTTCTGAGAGCTGGGATTAAAGATGTAGATCATCCACCAATACCCAGCAAAACAAATTAAAAAAAAAAAATAAGGAGAGGGATTTTGGACAACTGCAGTGTGAATGAAGTGGATAGTAGTTTGAGCCCTTTGTTAATGTTACTGTAAAATGGTACTTGCTGGTTGTTCAATTTGCTCTCTTTACATTTTTGTATTTTTTACTTGACCCTGAGCTCCTTGAGCTTAAGGACCCACAGGTAACATTTCACATACAGCCGCATTTCCACAGCCATGGCTGGCATCCGAGAGCACCAAAAGTCTAGAACACAGAGGGATTCCTGGCAGTAGGATTTGAGGTATGTGGTGAAAGGTCCCCTCTCGCTGGGTGTGGTAGCTTATGCCTATATTATTCTGCCTCCGAAGGCTGAGGCAGGAGGATTGTAAGTTCATGGCCAGACTGCGTACAGTTAGTAGCAGTCTGGCTAGGGCTATGAAGTGAGACCCTGTCTCACCAAAATAAAGACACAAATAAACAAATGTATTCCCTTGTATCATTACTTTTTTTTTTTTTTTTTTTTTTTTTTTTTTAGATAAGTACCTGATAGAAACAGCTTTTACTGTGGTTTGCAGTTTGCTGTCCTTTACGGTGGCACGGTAATAGGAGCACGAGGAGGCTGGTCCTATGTTGTCCCAGCCAGGAAGCAGAAAGAGATGAACGCTGATGTTCGTCTTACTTTCCACACTCTTCTCACTTTAAACACCGTTAGAGATGCATCCAGAAATTCATCAGCTAGACGATTCTAAATCATGCAAAGAAACTGATGATGGAGAGTATCTGTCACATCCCTCGAGATGCTGAGTAGTACTGGTTTCCAGTTAGCCATGTAATTAGTGGGGTGAGCAGCAGGTGCTCTATGGTATATGTGCTGCTAAGCTACTGTAGGGTAGGTACAGAAAACACAGTTCTCGTCTTATTTATTTATTTTTTTATTTTTTGGTTTTCTGAGATAGAGCCTCACTGTGTAATGCAAACTGATCTCAAACTCTCATCCCACTCCCTCAGCCTGCTAAGTGCTGGATTGTAATCCATTATTCCCAACATTAAGTGCATTTTGGATTTACAATATTTTTGACATAGTATAGCAATGACACAAGGTAGAATTATTCCTGGCTCCACCTCCTCCCACTGCTTTTCTGAGCATGCCATAGGAGGGTAAACTGTTTGCTGTTCTTTCCTATCTAGAACCCAAGGAAATGTTTTTATCATTTCTCATTAATTTGTACTTTCTATTCAGTTACGCACAGGAGTTCATTCTCCTTTCCTCGCTACGGACCAAGGCTTTGCTCAGTGATGATGAAGTCAGTTTTCCACCTGCTTGACATAATTAAGAAGGTAAATTGAAAGCGGAAAGCTCACCTAATACACAAAGAAGGGAAAGAAATTCCAGAAACGAGTTGATAGCTGTTTCTTAGGGAACACTTGCCAGTTGAGGACGCTGCTGGCTTGGTTTACCTTTTTCTTCACTAACAAATGGCCTAGAATTACTGGTAACTATTTTCCTAGTCAGGTTTCATGGGTCTGTATAGATGTGGTGTAGTAGCACGAAAAGATGACTATATGGGGCTGGAGCGATGGCTCAGTGGTTAAGAGCACTGGATGCTATTCCAGAGGACCTGGGTTCAATTCCTAGCATACACAAGACAGCTCACACCTCACTGTAACTCCAGTTCCAGGGGATCCAACACACAGACATTCATACAAGCAAAACACCGATTCACATAAAATAAAACTAAATCTTAAAAAAAAAGGGAACCATGGCTTTGGAGGTGTCCCATCCTCTCTGAATCCCCGCTTCTGCCATTTTCATTCTATGATCTTGTGTAAGTCCTTTATCCTGTTATAGCTGACTTTAGTTAAAGCTGCCAACTTGATGCACCCAGGAAGAAGGAACCTCAGTAGAGGAATTTCCTCCAGCAGATTGGCCTTTGGTATTTTCTAGATTGGTAATCGAAGAAGGGCCCAGATCACAGTGGGCAGTTCCATCCCAATGAAGGTGTAAGAAAGGTAGCCAAGCAAACCAGAATAAGAAAGACAGCAAGTTGCATTTTTCAATGGTCTTTGCTTCAGTTCCTGCCTCTTGTTCCTGACCTGACTTTGTTAGACGATGAACTGTAACCTGTAAGTCAAATAAACCTCCCCGCCACCCCCCAAGCTGCTTTTAGTCATTATTTTCTTACACCAATGGAAAGTAAACTAGAACATCCTTTTTGAGCTTTGTTCTATTTGTAAGAAAAGAGGACAGCAATCCTTTTTATTTCTTTTTTATATTAATTACAGGTTATTTACTTTGTATTCCAGCCGTAGCCCCCTCTCTCATTCCCAATCCCACCCTCCCTCCCTCATCTCCTCCCTGCCCCTTTCCGAGAACACTGTTAGGGAAGGACCTCCTTCCCTTCCATCTGACTCTAGCTTATCAGGTCTCTTCAGAACTGGCTGCAATGTCCTCTTCTGTAGCCTAGCAAGGCTGCTCCTCCCTTGGGGGGTGGGGGTGGGGTCAAAGAGCTTGCCATTGAGTTCATGTCAGAAATAGTCCCTGTTCCCCTTACTAGAGAACCCACTTAGGTACTGATCTACCATGGGCTATATTCGGGCAGGGGTTCTAGGTTATATCCGTACATGGTCCTTGGTTGGAGAAACAGTCTCATGAAAGACCCCTGTGCCCTGATATATTTGGTCCTTGTGGAGCTCCTGTCAATCCAGGTCTTATTAACTCCCCCTTCTTTCATACGATTCCCTGCACTCTGCCAAAGGTTTGGTTATGAGTCTTAATATCTGCTTTGATACACTGCAAGGTAGAGTCTTTCAGAGGCCCTCTGCGGTAGGCTCCTGTCCTGTTACTTGTTTTCTCCTACCTCCAATGTCCATCCTATTTGTCTTTCTAAGTGAGGACTGATCATCTTACCCCGGGTCCTCTTTCTTGTTTGTCTTCTTTAGGTGTATAGATTTCAGTATATTTATCCTATCTTATAGGTCTATATAAGTGAGCATATACCAGGTGTGTCTTTCTGATTTTGGGATACCTCAGTCAGGATGATCGTTTCTAGGTTCCACCATTTGACTGCAAATTTCATGATTTTCTCGTTCTTAATTGCTGAATAGTATTCCACTGTGTAAAAGTACCACAATTTCTGTATCCGTTCCTCAACTGAGGGACATCTGGGTTGTTTCTAGGTTCTGGCTATTACGAATAAAGCTGCTACAAACATGGTTGAGCAAAATTTCCTTGTGTACTTGAGCATCTTTTGGATATATGCCTAGGAGTGGTATAGCTGGATCTTGAGGTAGCACTATTCCTAATTGTCTGAGAAAGCGCCAGATTGATTTCCAAAGTGGTTGTATAAATTTGCATTCTCACCAGCAATGGAGGAGGGTTCCCCTTTCTCCACAACCTCTCCAGCATGTGTTGTCCCTTGAGTTTTTGATCTTAGCCATTCTGATGGGTATAAGGTGAAATCTCAGGGTTGTTTTGATTTGCATCTCCCTGATGGCTAAGGACATTGAGCATTTCTTTAAGTGTTTTTCTGCCATTCTACAATCCTCTATAGAGAGTTCTCTGTTTAACCCCGTGCCCCATTTTTTAATTGGATGACTTGATTTGTTGCTTTTTAACTTATTGAGTTCTTTATATATACTGGATATTAGACCTCTGTCAGATGTAGGGTTGGCGAAGCTCCTTTCCCAGGCTGTAGGCTGTCGTTTTGTTTTGATGACAGTGGAGGACAGCAATCCTAATCTTGTGAAATTATTCTGTATGTGCATCATTTAGTAAATATACAGTGTTACAGCAGGACCAAAATGCAGGTGACAGCCGGGCACGGTGGCGCAGGCCTTTGATCCCAGCACTCGGGGAGGCAGAGGCAAGCGGATCTTTGTGAGTTCTGTAGCCAGCCTGATCTACAAAGCTAGTCCAGGACAGCCAAGGCTACACAGAGAAACCCTGCCTCGAAAAAACAAAACAAACAAAAAACAAAAAGAAAAAAAAAATGCAGGCGACGTATTTATTTTTAAAATGATCATTTTATAAAACACACTCAAAACAGAATTATATAAAGCGGGTGACTTACAGGTGCCCTATTTTGCAAGAGTTTTTCAAAGGAGTATTTATTGCTTGAGGATTCAATGTGTGTCACAAACTGAGTCATAACATCGTGATTTATATTTACCTCCCACCCACTCGGGTTCCTTTCTGAAGATCCTTACGCTAGAAAGAAGTTACGATCTTGGGAAATTAAACAAGAAACTGAAGTTCTAGAAGGGAAACAAGACCAGGCCCACGGGTATCTCTTTTTAGACACTGCTCCCAGCGGAGGGACATCATTTCTGCGTTGGAAGACGCTAAGGGCGGGGCTTAGCAGCCGCGGAAGGCGGGGCTAACAATGCCGCGCGGAGCGGGAGGTGCCGGAGGCTGTTCTGGCAGGTTACCATTGGGCCAGCTTGGGGATGACGTAATAGCCACGCGCCTCCGGACTCGGGCCGCCGCTGCCGCCGCGTTTGCGCATGAGGAGCTGGTTGCCGCTGCAGCCGCCTGGAATTGTGGGGCTTGTGTTTGCCCCTCGGCTGCGGTGAAAAGCCGAAGGTAGGGGGAGGTGGGGCCCCCGGGCCCCGGAGCGGGACGCGGGGTGGACGGCGCCGGCCCGGCCACCTGCCGTTAGCGGCCTCCTCCCTCCCGCGCTCTCCGCACCTTCCCACAGTGTTCCGGGTCCCCCCACGTCCACCTCAGTGCCTCGCGGGCGAGACGTCCAACTGCGCCCCGGGCTGGCAGCCCCGAAGCTGTGCTCGGTTCTGTTGCCGCTGAGCCACGCAGCGACCCCTCCGCCGCCGGAGGAGGGGCAGTGGCTTTGGGCTGCATGTCAGTTTTGTGTTTCCTTCTTGATTCTCCCCCTCCGGCCTCAGTTTTCCCACATCTGTCCAAAGAAGGGGTGAATTTGGTGTTTCTCACTGAGACAAGCATTTTGGTAATTGGTCAGGACCTACTGAGTCTCTTGACGAATGAAAGTGCACCCTACCCCTTCGGCATTCTACCTCTTTCTTTGCGTGGTTTCTTTTCTCTGGTAGATGTGAAACTTGCCTTTGACGTACAGGTAAAAAGATTATGGATTTTGTTGTGATTTCAAATTACTTTGTGCTTAATCTCTAGGCTTCTCCCAGTAACTTCGGATAAAGTATTATGTGGGCGCCTGCTGCTCACACCTCTGCTGTTTCCATTCAGGTGGCCCCAGAATCCTTTTGATGGGAAAGGACTGGATTCCAGAAATGTCCAACAGCTGAGAAACCAGTAGGAACTTCTTTTGGACTGTTAGATGACTTTAAATATATTTTGAGGGCTGGAGCTGTAGCTCAAATATAAAGCCCTGGATTCAATCCTTAGCGTCGCATATCCCAGGTGTATACGCTGTAGTGTATGCCTGTCATCCCAGCACCGAGGAGTAGACGCAGGAGCATCAGCAATTTCAGTGTCTTCCTACACAGAGCTACACATAGTTACACCCTACACACAGCTACACTGTAGCTACACAGAGTTCCAGTTTGACCAGGAAGGCTTGAGACCATCTATGTATCTAATCTATGACCCATGTGTAGGAAAAGTTTATTATTTTTTCCCTTTTGTCTTTTGAGACGTATTTTTCTGTGTAGCCTGTCCTGGACTCGCCATGTAGACCAGGCTGGGTTGAACTCACATCGATCCGCCTGCCTGAGTGCTGGGATCACAGACGTGCACCCAGTTGAGGATTAGTTTCTAAAATGTATTTATAATGCCAGGTTTCTGTTTACCTCCCACCTCAAACAAAACTGTTTTGAACAAATGATTAGATTAACCCATGATAGGACGAAAATGAATCCTTAATGTTTACTAAGGGAAGAAACTGATGTGTTTACAAATACTAGCAGTATTTGTTTTGAGGGTATGAGTGTGTGGGTGTGTGTGTGTACAGTGTATGGCCTTTTCAGCTTTACTCTCAAGAATTTCTGATAAAGTATAGACAGATTTAGAGATTAGATAAAATTTTAATGGAATCCATAATGTAATATTAGGATTGCTGTTTGTGTAACATGGGTCAGAAATTGGCCACTGGGACTTGGCTCTTGGATGCTTAAGACATGCTGCTATATCAGCTGTGTTATAACCTCTCCATAACCTTTCAAATAGTAAATTCGATCTGCATATTAATTCCTGTGCTGTTTCAAGGAAACCGGCAGTAGGAAAGACCGAATATTTTACTGGTAATGGGAATGGGGAATGTGTTAGTAGGCATATGACAGCTCAGAAATAAAAATTGCATGGTATTTAATGTTGTTTTTTTCCCTCTTCCTTCCTGTTGTTTTTGTGAAGGCTGTTTCATCTCTACTGAGGCCAACTTTGAGCCCCGATATGTCTCATGACAGGGAAAAAAGCCAATTAAGTAAAACTGAAAAATAACAAAATGGATTTCAAAATAGCAAACACACTAGAACCTCCAGGCTTACTATCCTCTCAGTGGTGGTATAGGTGTGGGCTTTGGGGGCTGGAGGTGGGCAGCATCTAAGCGATATGGCTACCCTCCAAAGCAGTTTTGAAAAGTCCATACCCAGAAATTGTTTTCACTGACATTTGACACTATTTCTTCCTTCCTTCCTTTAAATCTCTAAATGGCACATTTATAAACCTTGATACCGGTATGTCCTCAGATGAATTAAATAGCTTTTTGTGTTGTTTTGTTTTGTTTGAAACGGGTCTCACTATGTAGTCTCAGGTGTCCTGAAATTCAGTATATACACCAAGCTGGCCTCTACCTCCTGAGTGCTGGGACTAAAGGTGTGTCCCGCCACCACTTGCCTCCTGTCTCCCCTTACTCTGTCCTAAATAAAGCTGTTATGGAGGCTGTCTTACAGTCCCATGGGGAAATCTTTCTTCAGAGAACCAATCTGAATATTCTCTTTTTTGGGGGTGGGGGTGGTGGAGAGTGCTGGGATCAAAGGTGTGGGCTACCAACACCCAGCCTTAATGCTGTTATTTTTTAAAAAGGCATGGTTTCTCATTTGTAGCCTAGGGTAGCCCCAGATTTACTGTGTAACCTAGGTTGGCCTCAAACATGTGATCTGTACTTCGTCCTCCCAGCAGGTGAATGAACAGTTCTTTGGAGCAGGACACGGTGGGATTTTGAGCAAAGTGGAGAGGAATATTTAACTCTACCTCTATTGGCCATATGACCTTGGGCAAGTCCTTTGCCTCTTAGACTCAGTTTTCCACTGCTTACCATGGGGACATTCCTTAAAAGGATAGTTAAATAAAGTGACACACATGAAAACTCTCAGACACAGGAATGCAAGAAAGGTTTTCACTCTAGAAGAAACAAAACAGTTTTTTTGGGCTTGTTTTCTTTTCAGTACTGGAGATCGAAACCTACAGCCTTGTGCATGCCAGACAACATTCTGCAGTTGAACCACATCCTAGTCCAAACATTTGCTGTTAATGAAAAAATTTAGAACATGGCAATCTATAAAGGGGAAGCTGTCCTTTTCTCCAAGTAGGTGGGTGCTGTCTGCTGTCTTTTTCATGTTTGTATATTTATACTCCAACACTGACTCCATCCTAAATGAAAGTGTTATGGAGCTATCTGCCAGGTCCTTGAGTTAGCCTCACTACAGAGAGCCCATCTGAATGTTTTTAGGATGCTTGCTCCTTGGTTGTAGTTCCTGAGGATTTTGCCCAGGGCCCCAGCTGGTGTTCTATCACGTTCTATAGCACAGACATCTCTAGTTCCTAGATTGGGTGTCAATTTGTAGATTCATCCTTGTGGTGCTAATTTTTCTCTTCCTGAGTGAGGATACTTTAGCCTTGTCCGAGTTGGCCTTAAGCTTCAAGCTTTAGTCTTTTATAGTAGAGAGCTTCATGTTTTAATTACATACGGTCTGAAGAGGAGATATTCTGCCCTCTTTTTTTTTTTTTTTTCATTTCATTTATGAATTTTATTATGATAGCTTGTTATTCATATGATGGGCCCTCCTGGTTCATGTTATCAACAGTAATGGTTTCTCTTTGCTCAGGTTCATGGAGAACCTCATGGACTTTTCTTGACCTGTGAGGAGCTAGTCTTTTAACACACTTGTGTAGTCTTCTAATGGAGACTCCTTAGGGGGACCTTCATTAGGCTAGGCTTGTAGTACCTTCAGGTTCCACCAGCAGCCGGTAGTTTAATTTCTGTCACTGTGATAAACTTGCCCTGGTGAGAGCAACTTTAAAGAAAAAAAAATTTATTTTAAGCCCACAATTCTGAGTTACAGTCCTTCATTTTGGGGAAGTCAAGACAAAATGTAAGTCACTAGTCACACATTCACAGTCAAGGGCGGAGAGAAATGCATGCTCACCTGCTTAGCTCACTCTTCACTGTCGCACAGTTCACGGTCCAGACCATGAGCCGGAGTGGTCTGTAGGAGGGATGGAGGTCTTTGTGCTCACAGATAAGCTCTGGGGAACTCTGAAATGTTAAACACGCAGGATTGTCCCTTCAAGAGAAGGACTGCTTAACCAGAGAATGGGGGTTGGTGTGTTTAAAGCCTGGTGACCTTTGCTCTACCTTTAGGGGTGGAGACTTTTTGGATACTAGATCCTCTCCGAGGCCCTTATCATAACTTTGTTTTTCTCAGTCTATAGAACCTGTCTCTATGGACTTTATGAAGAGTTTTAATGTAGTCACATCTAATGTATATTTAGCTTATTTTGTTCCTAGAGAGATTCATGGATGCTTTGTTGTGCATGCGGAACTGAGTTCATTATCACCAGAATAGCTTTTCACCAAAATGTGCTGTGCTTAAAACGCCTAAAATAAACTACCTGGGGTCAGACTCCAGAAGTTTGAACCAACACTGGCTCCTGAGTTGTGTTGACCCAAACTGCCGTCTGCCTCCCGGGGGTCCTCACTCTGCTGGCTGTGGAAATCACAGAAGACCCCTGCAGTTGTCTACATGTAGAGCGGCTCCTGCCACATCAGCCAAATTAAGAAAATCTCCCTCCAGGCCTGGAGAGATGGGTCAGTGGTCAAAAGTATATGCTGCTCTCACATAGAACCTTGGTTCTCAACGTCCATGTTTGTGGCTCACAGGTGCCTGAAATTCCAGTCCTGGGGAGAACTTATGCCTCAGACCTGTTTAGGTACTGACACACAGGTGTGCATACACAGACACACAATTAGAAATAGTAAAACGGGGCTGGGGAGATAGTTTAGCAGTTAAGAGCACTGGCTGCTTTTCCACTCAGGTTCAGTTCTGGGCACACACATGGAGGTTCACAACCATCTGTAACTCTAGTTCTAGGGGGTTTGATTCTTTCTGATCCTGGAGGGCACCAGTCATGCACGTGCAAACATACAGGCAGAACACTCATACACACTGACATTAAATAAAATAAATAAAATAAAAACTTTAAGGTCAACCTGATTGAGGTGGTCTCTTATTGAGACTTTCCCTGGGTGATTGCACATTGAGCTAAGCTGACAATTAAAACTAGCTATCACACACCGCTCATAGGTGTAGTGCTGGCTGTCCATCCCCGAGCCTGTCCCCAGCCTCCTAATCTTGCCCTTGGCTTTGTTATTGAGA